AGATACAGATACAGATACAGATACAGATACAGATACAGATACAGATACAGTATCTCAAGAATTAAAAAATATATATAATGTATAATCTATAATCTTGACAACAAAAAGCTCTCTTGATTAATAAAAGCTCTCCATAAATAGACGATTCGCATGAAAATCGGTTCAGTAAGCTGAAGAGCTCAGTTGCTTGTAGTCCGCAAGATGCTTGCTCGTTCGATTTGTGTTGCCATTGCTCTTATAATATGTACTTCTCACTGTCATGGATGTCACATTTATGATATAAATGCGACTAAAGCGTTAATTGAAATAAAGAGCCAGTTGGCGGAGATACGGTAAGCTTCCCAACTTCAGAGATATTAACTAATCATTTTACCTGGATGTGCTTAGATTGGAGGAAGCTAAGCAAGAAGAGCAGCTAGCAGAGATTTTTCGGAGACTCAACCGAAACTGTCTCAATTCATCTCCAGCTACTAATGGTATATCCACGATCCCCTGTGAGAAAAACGAGCATGGAGCCGGCTGGACTGTCATTCTACGTCGCCAGGATGGCAGTGTTAACTTTTATAGGAACTGGAATGACTATAAAAATGGATTCGGCAATCTGGATGGAGAGTTCTTTCTGGGCTTGGATAAGATACATACACTGACTGCCGAACAAAGTCAGCAGTTGCTTGTGCTACTCGAAGATGCCAATGGTGTAAAAAGCTACGAAAAGTATGACAGGTTCGCAATTGGCAATGAGCAGCAGTCCTATGAATTGCACACGCTCGGAAGGGCTGCAGGAAGTGCGGGCGACTCACTCAGAAAACACTTTGGTCTCAAATTTTCGACCTATGACAGGCCAAATGGTGTCGACCCTCGAAACTGTGCCATCCTCTACACTGGCGCATGGTGGTATGAGAAATGCCATGATAGGTGGGATTTTGCTTCCTCTATTTTGAATTCAATATTAATTGAATGATTTCCCTAGCCACCTTACCGGAAAATATGGCGATAACACCTCTGGAAAGGGCATCAATTGGTACACTTTTCGGGGTCATACTCACTCACTGAAATTCGCCGCCATGATGATACGACCGGTGAATAAATGATTGACAAAAATGATTTGCACTCTTCGACTCAAATCTTAATCTTACCTTCACTTTCATCGTTGTTTTTGTTTTCCTCATTTATAAATCATTTATTTAATTTTCTAAAAATCTAAATATCTGCTCGATAAAATAATAATTATACAATAAATGAGTTTTGAACTATGCTAAACCATAGTACTAGGTACTTATTATATATAGTTAAATCCTTCACCCTTTGACTTTACACTGCATCAAGAACTTATTCCAATGATATATTTATTATTCCAATTGAAAATGCATGTGCACTTAAATAATTATGAAATACGCAATCGAGGCCAATTAGCTGAGCTGAGCGGAAATTAAAAAGACAAAAAGGTAAACGAACAACCTTTAACGAACTTTTGATCAAGCCGTGTACTCTACAGCCCCGCTCTCAGCTGCTCACCTGTCTCAGCTGCCTTACCCTTACCCTCATTGACTCCCCACCTATTTGGCTTGGCAATTAGCATGCTCCTGTGCACCGTGTGCAGCCAGTTGAAGCCACATTCGCAATACCATTGAACCGCAATGGAGGCACATAAAGCGCGCATTGAAAATTAATTGCGGCTCTCTGGCTGTGTGTGTGTGTGTGTGAGTGTGCATTGAGATCTGAGGCGATGTGTGTGTGAGTGTGTGCCCCATGTGCATATGTGAGTGCGTGAGTGCTGTACCACTTGAGCACCGTCAACCGCCTTTTCGCATTGATGATGATGCCGATGCTGACGATGATGCCAAAACAGGCAGCGGAGCTGCCAACGGTAGCCAGCAGCGAGGCAGGCATTCGTCCAAAACCCGCTTCGCGGTTTGCCTTTTATGAAAAATTAATTTGCTTTTTGTGTGCAGCAATAATATTTTACTTGTTCTTTCATTTTTCTGTTCTGCTGCCGCTGCACCCCGAGCATACCCCCTTCAATGTGCTGCCAATCAGAGCGTATGATTAATTTTTCGTCGCGGTGCCCACCAAAATCTGTTTAATGTGTGTGGGTCCATGTGTGTGTGTGTGTATGTTATTATATGCTCTTTTTTCAAAGTTCAAATATCTTAAACTTTTAAGGCTTAATATTTGTTTTATAAGTTTTTTTTTTTTTAGGTTCTTTACAGCTAATTAGTATTTAGGTTTAAGGGAGTTTTGGCATACCATCCTTAATAGGCATACAAATACATTTTTATTTTTGCGTCGGAAATCATATCATTCAATCATTTTTATTAGATAAATGTTATATTATATTATATATATGTATATTATATAAATATATGCAAATAACAAAACTTAAAAAGAAAATTATATTTTAACCCATGCGTCAATCTATTTTTGTTTACCAAAATGTAAATTTTGCATATTTATTTATTGCCAATGTTTATATAGGCCATATAGTATCTATGCTAGATATAGAATACCTACAGGCTATATATACATTTTATTCACGAATTTCGTTCAAGATTTTATTAAGCAAAACATATATATGCTCTATAATACTTATAGAATATAAATATATATTTTTCCGGGAATTTAAAACAAATAAATAAACAAATTAAAAATAAGTAAACAAAATTGTTTTTATTTTTTTGTATAGCTCATAGAACAACCATATATTAAATGAAATATCCACAAGGTATATATATATATATATTTATATATATTTGGAATTTTTAGACATTCTTTGAACATATAAGAAAAGGTCGTTACACAATTTTATTATGCATTTCATTTTAAATAAAAATTAAAAATTCCCAATATTGATATGAAATGCTCCTATATAGCACCATGTATACCTTAAGGTCAAACCCGCTTATCTTGAATCACTTGCCTACAGGGTATTCAGGCTAGGCAGCAGCAGCTTGAGTTTGAGCACCACCAGCAACACTTTCCATGGTCATGCACAGTTATTTGCAACAGACAGCAGACAGCAGACAATGCATATTTTTGTGCAATGCCGCAACGAGGACAACAACTTGGTGGCAACTTCTTCGTGCTAAAGTTTTGCAAAATGCCGCCGCGTTTGCTAGCTCCTTCTTCTTCTTCTTCTTCACTTTGCTGCTGCTGCGGCTGCTAGTGCTGTCTTGCGAAGAGTTTTGCGCGCGCGCACACATTTCACATTAGAAAAACCACAAAATTATGCAACACAATATGAAATGCATTTGAGAGACAAGTGAATCTTGTCAAGTGCCACAGTGGCAAGCACGAAACGACTCCGGCTCCGGTTCCGGCCCAGCACAGCAGACAGCAGACAGCAGCGGACTAGCACTAGCTGTAGGACTATGGCTCCAGCGTCAGAGCAGAACACTTGAGTTGGCGCTTTAATCAAAAGTCAAATATTTCATGCAATGCGACAAGCATTCGTGAATGGCTGACTGTATGGGTGTGCGTGTGCGTGTGTGTGGTTGAGTGGATGGGCTGCTTTGGGGTGGTGCTGCATCTGCTTTAACAGCAGGCAGCTGCTGTCAGCATACAAATGCAATGCTGCTAACCCCACACAATAGATGCCAAGGAAGACGACGACGACGACGACGACGACGACATTCACCCCGCCTACAAATTTGAGTGGCTGAAAAATCTGGAAGACGGGATGCAGTGGCTCGGCAGCTGCCTCGCATGCCTGTGCACTTGCAGCCACTTTGAATTCGGATGGCAATGGGCCGCGCTGCTATCCTCTGCGCTGCGCTGCTCCGCACGGCTCTTTCATGGAAATTACATTTTTGCATTCTGGCGTCGCTGCTACTCAAGTAAATGCAAATATTTCTCATTTCTCTTACAATACAAAAAATAAAAAAAAAAAATAAAAAAGAAAGAATACAAAACAAGAAATTGTCAAATGTATTCAAAATGTGCGCCGCATGCGAAATCTTTTTGAATATTTATATACACACACAGATAAGCCCACCCACACACACACACATATGCACACCCTCTCGCACACATACGCATTTCATTTAAATTCCAGAGCAAATGATTTTCTTGCGAATGCTGGGATTACAGCTACAAAAACATTTCATGGCCAACAAATTGGTTTAAGCTTGAGTCGCAATCATTTAGCGCAGCCAAACACAAAATTGCATTTGGATTTAATATAAATACATTTTCCTTACCGAATCAGTTACAATTAA